ATATATTTTGGTATATTTTCTCGTATATTTTTTGGTATTCCTTTTGGTATATGTTTTGATATATTTTTTGGAATTTTATCTGACCTATTTTTTGATATTTTATTTATGATATTTTCTGGCATTCTATTTGGTATATCTTCTGGTATATATTTTGCCATATCTTCTGGTATTTATTTTGGTATATTTTCTGGCATTTTATTTGGTAAATTTTCTGATATTTTATTTGACAAAAATTCTGGCATTTTATCTGACATATTTTCTGGTATTTTATCTGGTATTCTATTTGATATTTTATTTGATATATTTTCTGACATATGTTCTGGCATATCTTCTGGTATTCTATTTGGTAAATCTTCTATTTATTATATTTTTTATATTTTATCTGACATATTTTCTGGCATTTTATGTGGCATTCTATTTGGCATATCTTCTGACATATATCCTGATATATTTTCTGGTATTCTATCTAGCATATTTTCTGATATATTTTCTGACATATATATTTTAATATATCTTCTGATATTTTATCTGATATATTTTCTGGCATATATTCTGGCATATCTTCTGACATTTTATCTGGTATTTTATTTAACATATTTTTTGGTATATTATTTGGTATTTTTTTGTATTTTATCTGGTATATTTTGTGTTATTTATTTTATTTGACATTTTATTTGGTATTTTATGTGGTAAATTTGTTGATGTATGTTCTGGTAAACATTCTGGTATTTTATCTGGCATACCTTTTTGCATTCTATCTGACATTTAATCTGGCATGCCTTCTGGCATTCTATCTGACATATCTTGTGGCATTCTATCTGGCATATCTTCTAGCATTCTATCTGACATATTTTATGAATTTTTTATGATATTTTATCTGGCATATTTCAGGGCATTTTATCTGGCATATCTTCTGGCATTCTATCTAACATTCTATCTGGTATTTCTTCTAGCATTCTATCTGGCCGTTGAGCCGGGCAGGTCCCAGGTTGAGGTTCAGCGGTGCATACTGAGCTGGGCAGGTCCCAGGTTGAAGTCCAGCGGTGCACACTAGGCTGGGCAGGTCCCAGGTTGAGGTCCAGCGGTGCACACTGAGCTGAGACGGTCCCTGGTTGAGGTCCAGCGGTGCACACTGAACTGGGAAGGTCCCAGGTTGAGGTCCAGCGGTGCACACTGAGCTGGGAGTGCACACTGAATTGGGCAGGTCTCAAGTTGAGGTCCCAGTGCACATTGAGCTGTGAAGTTGGCAAAGAGCTTGGCGAAGAGTTGGCAAGGCGGAAGTGGAGGTGGAAATTAATGCAGACATGGTCGAGGAAAAACTAGAGGAGGAGGAAGAAGACAGCTAGCTAGCCGAGGAGGAGGAGGAGGAGGAAAACAACTCTAATAAAATCTAATAACCTCACCTGCCAGAATTACATTTAACTAATGGATAATTAAAAAACAAAAACTTAAAAATATATATTATTTTTTCTTGATTTTATTTAATTATTTTTATTATTATATTCTAAATTTGTAAGAACGGATTTTTTTGAACCATTTATCCATAATTATTTACGATTATTTACGTTTTCTAAAATCCGATATATATTATTTGTTTTTTTAATAATATATTTTTTAAAAAATAAATATTATTAAAATAATATTATTTTTTTCGAAGATATAGTAAGGAAAAATATATTCTTAAGGTATTCCTTATATAAAAAAAAAACAAGATGAAGCCCACGAACCCGAATGCTCACACGTATGTTAATGGTACAGATGTCAAAACACATGGTCATACAATCACGCACAATACCTTTCTGCAATAATTTATTTGAACAATTTTGTACATGTTTCCCTTGTTACCAGTCTGCAGTGTGGAGTGGAAAGTGTAGAGTGTGGAGTGTGGAGTGTGAAGTAAGGAGTGTGGAGTGTAAAGTGTGGAGTGGGGAGTGTAGAGAGTGTAAAGTGTAGAATGCGGAGTGTAAAGTGTAGAGTGTGGAGTATGGAGTGTAAAGTGTAGAGTGTGGAGTGTGGAGTGTAAAGTGTGGAGTGTGGAGTGTAAAGTG